TTAATAGGACCACCTCTTAGGTTGTGCCTAGCAGAAGTTCTTCTTTGATTATGGTTGAAGCTTCGAGTCATTTTGTTATTATTATTATTATTATTATTTTAAACTTTTAAAAATTTATTTTTTTTTAAGTTTAATTTTTATCGATCTTATCTTTAAACCTTATATACCTTTAAATTTTAAATTCACATGACCAAATTTAAATTATTTTATTAGACAATTGTTAGCAAATCTCTGCTATCTAAAAAGTAATACTTGGATCCAGATATAAAACCAGATATCTGGATATATATTCTGATTTAAATTTCTTAATCTGGATATATAAACAGATGTTTGTTAAATATCCAGTTTTTAATTCGAATTATATTCAGATTTTTTAATTCTAAATAAGCAATCCATAAATAAATATATTTTTATATAAGTAATATGTATCTCTTAAACCGTAATTTGTATACTAAAATTTTTGATTAAGCTATATCAATATATAGATCGTCCCTATAGTTTGCAGTATCTTCTATTTCTATATGTCACGAATGCAAAGCTAATTCAAAATTGTGTGCTTGGGTAACTTGATAATTGTCTAATGCCTTAGCTTGCATAAAATGATAGTTTAAATAAATTATTAGTGTAATAATTAAACAGAACGTACTTGAACTTAAATAAAAAAAAGATGTGTTAAAGTTTGAATTTTTTTTTTTAAAAAAAAAAAATTACGTCTTCTACAAATGAGGACAAGCATGTTAGCTTCAAGTTCCGCTCTCCAAAAAACATAGAATCAAATACGAGATAATGAAGAAGAATATGAATCTCTTTTGACCTTTTATCAGTATTCCCTAGACAATCTGAACTCAGAAGACAATGAAGACAATGATAATGAAGAAACCACAAAATCAAATACTAAAAGTACTCGCAAAAGAAAATGAACATCGACAAAAGCCTTGCAACTAGAGCTGCTATCTCCATCATCCAATTTTAAGCCACTTGATTATTTAAAAAAAGAGTGAAGTATATCACCGATGCTCTTAGCTAGCAACAAAAAAAAAAAATTAGATGAGTTGTAAACTGATCAAACATGCCTTTTAAACAGGCTTTCTATTTACACTACATATCCCATAAACTATAAATTTTAGCGTATAAAAATTTTTTTTATACAACATTTATTTAAACTAGCAAGAGTAGTTCCCAAGAACTTGGGTTATATAGTGTATTGCAATATACTGTGTGATCTAAAAAAAATATATTTGCACGTTTGAAATCTGTAACAGACCACCAAATCAAAAGAATCATAAAGATCAAAATTAAGTGCAGACTTTGCAGACTTTAATTTACTTGATATTCGATATTTAAATATACTTATGAACTAAAATTTTGTGCTGAAAACTTTTATTAGAAGTCAAACTGTAGTTATCATAGTAAAATCTTGTGTTATTTGCGATTTTTCTGTTTTCTCAAATTTTTTAAGTTATATATGATTGACATAACCTGTTACAGATTTCAGACGTGCAATATATTCAATTTGTGATGTTCTGTGACATATTATCTATTTCGTGAGTTAATTCAGTTTTCAAATTAATGATGATGATACTGATATTGTTAGATCACAAGCTAATCACTGAATTTACTATATAGATTATTAACCACTTTTAACTTTTCTCTCTCTTGTGGGTTAAGATTTAATATGATCATAGAAACAAAGTTTGCCAAATAATTTATTTTTATTTCAAATATTTAGTGGGTATGACTTCTGCTTAATGTATTCAAACTCAGCTTTTATTCAAATATCCTTTATGGCTTTATGCTATTGTATATATTTTTAATAAGACAAATTTGTTACGTATACTGTATATTCACTTTATTTATTAGACCTAATAAATTTACTAGATTCAGCAAATTTACCATATCTGCTAAATTTGATTTATTCTATCTAAATAAGGTAAAAATATCAATAAAATACATAATAAAGTTTATTTTTTTTTTTTAAAAAAAAAAAAAAAATATATATATATATATAATATCGTTCAGCATAAACATATTCAAAATGATAGAATTTCAGATGTGAAGTTATTTAAAAAGTTTGATACAGATAAGGAAGAAAAATAGGTTAAAGCAGTACCTGATGCTATCTTACTCAGATGTGGTACTCAGAATACTATTATTTTGTTTAAGGAAAAGAATTTTTTCAAATAAGTCAGTGTTAATTGATGTACGTCTTGTTGTCATTAAATTACCCGCACTCGAAAATAAGTGTTCACTAGAGGTTGATGTAGAAGGTGTAGCTAAATATTTGCATGCTAAATTAGAAAGAATTGGAAATTTTTCTTAAACATCTTTCCACTAATTAAGCAGATTAGTTGCAATTGGCATTTGATCAACTTTAAGATATTTGTCTATTTCATTTTTATTTGATGTTGATATTGCATCTGACCCAAATATTTTTGAAAAAAGATTTATCTGATTCTCATTTTGATCTACATTCACTAAGTTAGTAACAGTTTTATTCCCAGTACTAAGTGAATTGTATTTATCTCGCAGAACATTAATAGCCTTATTACGTTCCCAACTATCTAATTTTTTCATAGATTTATAACGCGGATCAAGTAATATTGCAATTAAAGAACTATCAATAGGTGTATCCTAATAATGGTTTAATGCATTATATAAATTCTCTTTTACTTTATCTACTAGACCTTCTGTATTTTGAGGTTGATTAATTTTGAACTTATCTCCATTAGCTGTAACAATTATTTCTAATTCTTCATCTAAATCGACTATATTCTCCTCCTCTTCTTCAAACACAGTTAACATATTTATTAAATCAAGTTCTTCATTTATACTTGTTAACAATGGTTCACATTTTCTAGTAAGAGTAATAATAGCTAGCCACATAAAACTAAGTATAGAATAATTACTGCCACCAAGCAATTCTGTAATTTCAGCAAAAGGGACCAAAAGTATAGTCAATTCCTCAAGAATGTTCCATTCTTCTTCAGTAATCATCAAGGACTTTAAACAGATTGCATCTTTACGAATATTATAATTATTATCAGTGCTCATAGTTGCATCCATTAATTTAATAGCATATTTAATTTGAAGAAGTCTTTTCTATGCAATATATGAAGAATTCCAGTGAGTGGGCGTATCAGATATTGCATTAAGAAATTTTTTTTCATCATTATTAATGTTTTCCTTTGAAATTTTTAACAATTCTTGTGCTTTTCGCAATTGCTCATTTTGTTTAGGTGTAACCAAAAAATTAATTAATCTTTTTGTACATTTTATCAAAACTTCCGCAGGTTTTAACCCTTTACCAATAGCGAGCTGAAGTGTATGGGCTGTACAAGAAATCTGTTCTACGTATTCTATTAAATTAATAGCCTTAATCATGTTAGCAGCGTTATCAGTAGTAATTGAAGTTACTTTTTTAGAAAGCTCCCAGTAATTAATTACTTTTTCTAATTCAGCTTTAATACTTACAGTATCATGAGGATATAGAACATATTTAATTGCAAGCATAACTTCTTTTAATTCATAATTAGAATTAATAAAATGACATGTAACTCCTATATATCTGCTTTTAGAACGTGCAGTCCATAAATCACATGTCAATCCACATGTTTTAACTTCTGTTTCCAAGAGGGTTTTAAGGCATTTCACTGAATAATTATAATTTTGATGGATTAATCCTTTTACATGTTTATCAGATAGAAGTTCATAATATAGATTTAATGTATGAATAAATTTAATGAAGCTTTCTTTTTTTAAGATATAAAGAGGTTGTAAATTTGTAACTATCCATTCTACTAAGGCACGATCGATAGATTCTTTTTAACGAGTATTTTGTTCAGCAGCACGATGAAACATTTCAGTAATTGTTGGTTGCGTGGTTATATTAATAGTTTTAATAGATTTAGTTATTCCATGTGTATTTAAATGTGCTTGAAAGTTGCCCGTTGAACCCTGAGTCTTAACTAACTGCTCGCATTCTTGTCCATTTGGTGACTTTTTACTTTTCACAATAACAGTACAATTTGCACATATTTTCCATTTTTGTGATGGATGTCTCTTGTGAAAATATTGCCAAACCCAACTGATGTTCTTTCGCAATTTAGGTTTAGTATTATTAGAATAATTTGAATTAGTATTTTTATTAGAATGGTCTGTATTACTGTCATTAGAATGATCCGTATTACTATTAAGGTCTAAGTTAATATTATCTTCACTCAAAGATTCATTATCAAAAACAACAATATCCTCAGAATTAGTATCAGAATTGGGTAATAAATTAGAATCAGTATGATTTTTAGATTTTCATTTTTTAGTACTCATTATTTTGTCAAAATACACAAGAAAAACTTTCTTTGAATAGTGTTTTTTTTAGAATATTCAGAGTTTAAATATAACTAATAACAAAGCATTAGCTCCGTTTAGCAATATATTGTTTTACATTGCAGAATAATAAAGCTATTGAATAAAACAACGGATTCTAAATTTAAAGAAAAAAAATTCATCGTAATTACTAATAAACTATTTCTATTGTTCGAATTTAGGTATACATTTTTTACAAAGAACTGATAAGCAATTGATTATACGTGTAGTTTTATGTATAATTTGAAAGATGTGATAATTATATGAAGAATTATTCTTTTATGAGTCTGGTTAAAACTTTTTACTAAAGTATTTTGAAATACTTTCAGTGAATTCATCATTCTGAAAGCAAAAATGCCAAAAATCAAAGGCACCTAAAAAATTAAAGTGAATAAATATGTTGAATTTTGTTGGTTTTGATAGAAAAAAAAAGTATTGCATATATACTATATATGGTATATCTAAGCTAGTTAACGCATCAAAAATCTATTAATTTGTACTGATAAAAAATTTTTTTTTGTTTTGAAAAAATAATATTTTTCATTGTCAGAATATTGCATAGTAGTAATCATTGAATTCTATGATATGTACATAGCAATAATAGCCTGCAATGCAATAATTCAAACTAGCTACAAAAGTGCGGGTTGTATAAAAAGCACTACAACCACTGCATAATTGCTTAGAAAATGATTGAATCGTCTAGCTTTTGCATGTAGCATTATTGTTGTGAAAACAAATTATGTAACAAAATGATATACTACTGGTTTATTAGGATATGACTATGTGTATTCTCAAACAACTCCTTCAATATAATCGAGATCATGCACAAGCATTACAAATAATCCTTGTTTTGCTGAGTTAAAAGAAAAGATTTTAAACAGTTTGAAAATTAAAGGTTATTGCGAACAAAGAAATATCAAAAAGAAGTTGTGAGAGAAATTAGTAAATGCTAGGTCGCTAGAATACTTTCCCTTATGTCTTTGATCTACATAGTGCATTTAATATCCCAACAACATGCTGTGATTAATTAACTTCCTTTTTTAGTTAGTACGATAATCCAATTTTATAATGATAAATCTTTTCCTGAGTTCCGAGAATTAGCTAGGGAGACTTCAAAAATACAAGTCACATAATCAGCACTATGTGTTCTCAAGCATGGAAATCAGTTTTTATGATAATTAGTAGAAGATAATTTAGCCGATCAAGAGAGTTAATGAAAAAAGATAGTTGTCACTCAATGGATTTGATGTAAAATTTTAATTAGTTGGGAATTCAAATAAACCAATCAAGAGTTATTATTTCGATTCTGATTAGCAAAATTTTAAAATCTGCAATTTGCACAATGAATTTTCAACCATTTAATCATAACAACTGCTTCAATTAATGGCAACAATTGAGCAACATCTCAGATCACTTTCAAATCATATTGAGGAAGCTACTTGAGAATGCTCTTAAAATCTACATTTCGCACTATAAATCATCCGCAAAATTGCTACTATTTGACCGTAACTATAAAATTGTACGTTTATGTTTCTTTGTAGTATGTGACAATTTAGTTTATAGATAAAATAAAAATAAGATAGAATATATAGAAAATTTTAGCAAGTAATCTTTTTTATTAGTACGCAGAAAGTGGTTTCATAGGCAAAATTTTGATATAATCATGATTTTCTATGATTTTTATAAAAAATTAATTAGTTTTCATTACACCTGATCTTGTCCTTGTGACTGATGTTTATTAGTTGAGTAGTTAAATAAACGCTTTTGGTTAGCCAAAACTTGGCCAATAGGAATTGTGGGGCGAATTTAGTTAATATGATCGATTATAAGATAATTTAATATTATATCCGGATAAAAACTGAATTTGAAATTTAAAAAATAACAATCCAGATTTGTAATACTCTTTTTCAAACAAATATCCGTTATCCTCTTTATATTCAGATATATCCGGATTCTATAAACCAGATCCAAGCATTACTAAAAAGGGTCTGTGAAAAATTTTAGACATTAAGCAGTTGTAGGATAATGGTTTGGACATGTGTACCTAGTTGATCTCTAGGTTGAGAGTTCAATTCTAGCTTAGGGCAAGACAATCCCAACTGACGAGTTTTGGTAGTGTTCCTTAAATTACAACATCTGCTATCTTTTTATTCTTTTATTTTATTTGATATTACTATTCATTCGAATAATAGTAATCTTATTTT